AACCTTCTGCATAGACTTTGCACTATTCCTGCTCAACTTATAAAAGCGATAAGATGGTAAAAAAATGAAATAAGGAGCTTTAGGAGAAGAGGGATGATGCGAGACGCTCTTAAACCTCCTTGAACTTTTTTGTTAGCCTTGGCCGAGTCTTTCACTTTGTACGTGTGTCTTGAGTTTGCTTGATGAGTCATTATCATAAGGCGACTTAACACTGAGCGCGTCTATCTGAACTCATTCTGGAAAATTCTATAAAAGCATACCAAATCAAGACTGCATTCGCCCTCCATAAGATTTTGGAATTGCCCTGACATTCGCGGAGATCGCGCAGGTGCTGCATCACCGAGATGCATGGCAAAGTACATGACAGGAAGTTCTTCATCTGAAATAAAAAAGTAATTCAGTATATTTTTGGAAAAGTACGAAACTTTTGCATACCTTTATCCTCCTTCTTTCTGCCCGGTAAGACTACACCTAGAACAACGGCGACGATGGCGATAATTAGAACTACGGCGCCTCCTATTCCCCACTTGGTAGCTTTCTTCATCTGCGAAGGGGCACTTCCTGAGAAAATTCCACATTAGAATTTGGTCTTGATGACTGTTCTAGACAGTCTGACAGGTTTGAAGAGGAATTAGGAAGTGCTTATTTGATATGAGTACATCTTAAGAGTTAAGGGCTTAGTGGTGATGCACGGAAACCTTTGAAAGCGATAAGAGTACTGTAAGATTTTATTCCACGCTTCTTATTGTTTATTGCTGGTATTGGGACATCATTGGAGAATGATAAGTGTCACGAGTTCTATAGCTATACAGCAAACATGTAAACAAGTGGCTGTAAACTCTGCATCTGTCAATTCTATCTATTATTCTATCATCATAATGAAGGCTAATAAAAATTCACCAAATTTTTGCTAATAGCAGTCACCACACCCAGCGAATAATGCTAAAATTCAATGGTTCCATAGAATTTTTGCCATTTTGACATATCTCCAAATTGTGACATTCTTCGAATGTAGTGAACAGCCTATCCTCTTCAGATGGTTTATCTGGCTGTCCGGACTTCTTTAGCGAACAGCGAATCAGTAGCTTTGAGTGCTACTCTCTAAGCAGCAGCTCATGTGACTCAAGCAAGAACGAACATTTGTTCGTTACCGCACTTGATCATCTGATTGGCGATTGCGAAAAAATTACGGTAATTGGCAAGGTCCAGATGATTTCTTGG